AATAAACTCTATGAAATCACAAAGTCCTTAAAAAAATTTTAAAAGAATTCTAACCATGTATTTCAATTTGCATACAAGTCTTTCCAAAGAGAATTTTTTTTTTTTTTGACAAAGATGATAACAAATAGAGATGGATTCATACACACATTTTTTTTATGTTAAGAAGATAATTTATCATGAAAGAAAACAAAAATGAATTCTCACCAAACGTGTATTTCATAATCATAATCAAATCCGTCATGTGCTTCTTTGGACATTAGATTTCAAACGGTCTACTAATGATTTGGAACAATTGAAATAGTTTAAGGGTTTAAGTGTCTTTCACTTAGTTTATGATGTTTATTAGGAAAGAAAATAAAGTTGAGGGAAGTTTAATGCACTTAACTCTTTAAAAAATAATAATAATGTATATATATTAATTAAGAAACTTAATCCCAAAGTCGTTCATTTAACCCTATCATCAAGTCCATCATTTAACGGTCATAATCATAATCAAAATCAAAATCATAATCATAATCATAATCAAATCCATCTCATTATCCAAGTTCCAATTAGAAAACTAAAACCGAGTATATGTATATATGTATATATATATATTGCACTCAATAATATTTTAAAAAATACCTATCAACCGATCCTGTATATAATTGATAACTTACAAACTTAGCTGATTTCATTCTCCTTATTTTTTTCTCTAATTGAGCACCGTATTCTTTTAAGTTGGTTTTATTTGTTTGATTTTTTAATTCAACTTATATTTTATCACCAGCAACAATGACTAATATAATCAAGGAGTCCAAATTAAGACAATGGCAATCCAAATACAATGGCACAAGACATGCAGTACTCCATTGTTAACAAAATAAGGAACAGCTTTGTTTGGTAAACTAATCGGAAATTTTTTCGATTAAGCGACCACAATACAATCATAATGGGATTATGATTAGTATAACAACAGTTCTGGAGTGTGTTGGTTATTTTTGTGTCTTTAGGGATACATTACTGGGCCTTGACTAATGGATGATTTGTTTAATCTTTAAAGGTAAAGTAAATCGATAGCAATAAAAACAAAAATAACCTCATTCATTGAAAGTTAACCAAAATTGAATAAACTTTAACATATAAAATATAAAAACTCCTTATATACTAATTATGTATTGTATATATAATGATTTATTCGTGAAAGAATTCTATGATAACTAATTGACATTTCAATCAATGATTGTGTATTACATATAAAATACAATATTTAATATATTTTATCCATGTAATTTTTTTTGAACAGACCAAATTTAATATTCATGCATATTTCTTTCACATTGTAAAAATAGAATTCCAGAACTGAAATATTAGGAGAACATATATATAAAATATAATAACTCATGTACTAATTATATATGAAACAATATGTGTGTGTGTGTGTGTGATTAGATAGAAAGATAAAGGGTAATTTACACAGGCCTCCCATATGGTTTGCCATAATTACAGGCAGCACCCTTCCTGTTCCGAAAATTACGCGGACCTCCCCTACTTTTTTAAATATCCTACACGGACCTCCCTTCCGTTAAGGTCAACGCCAGTTAACGACGAAAAATAATGACGTCAGCTACTAATTTTTTTAAAATGCCGAAAATACCCTAGTCTATATAATTAAATAAATATTATATTTAAAAAATATATATTTATACTTGATATGATATATATATATATATATCAAGCCTTCATCTGGTTTAGTCAGTGGTGATGATGGCGAGGATCTCTGACGGCGACGGGTTGTGGTGGTGGGTTTGAGATAGTGAGGCGACGGGTTATGAACTCAAATTTTACCAATGGAAAGAAAGCTGGAATTATGCTTTCTTTCAATTGGTGATCAGACTAAGCATGCTGAATGCAGCTCCAAAGAGCCTAATTATCATCCCCATAGCGATTCTACACCCAGATTCCAGGTAAATCTAATCTAATTTCACAAACTTAGAATAGTCAGAAAGAGACATTTAATTCAAAATCTGAATCAACTTGATTCATGATGTCAAATTAGGACTAATTTAATTTTGATAGGTCAATCAGAACTTATTGAATCTGTTTCTCCACTGAATCAACTGTTATGCAACTATCAAATAAGAAAGCACTAAATTTTAAGCACTCATTCTTGTTGCAACATGATCGTCTAAAGACACGATGAATAAATAGTTTCTTACTAACAATTACAAATAATATTGAAAATGAATGCGGAACCATGTGGATAAAATTACCACTGGAGGTTAAACAAGAACCATCTCATGCGTTTCTTAGTTTCAATCTTGTGGTATTGAAAATTTCTTACACAATCTGTGACGGCAACGGGTTGTGATTGTGTGGATCTACATTCTTTGACTCTCTCTCTCTAATCTGTTTCACCAATGGAAAGAAAGCATAATTCCCCGATGACTCGTCACGGAACTCCGGCCACGAAAATGAGCAGTGAGAGAGTCACAAGCATTTGATTTAATTTTCTTGAATTTTGACAAAGTTCTAAGCAACCAATTTTTTATTTTTTTTAATAATCATCAACTAATACATCTCCAATTTGTTAGATTTTGAGTCCATGGCTGCCTAGAGAGAGAAAGTGAAGATAGAGAGAGAGAGCCGATCGAAGTAAGTCAGAGCGAGAAAGTGGGATGAAGGGATCATCGTGATTAAATGGGTTTTCTCTATACTGCAACAATTAACACACAACATGCTCAAATTTTAGAGAACAATAAACAATCACCATTTTAATAAAGTCAAAGAATATTTCTAGCTCAAGAATGTGTTTTCCTCACTAGCTTGAGTATGAAGTCCAAAGCTTGCTTTCTCCAACGGACTGCAGTGGGGTTCTGGTGGTAGTTCTCAGAGGCCATGAAGTCTGCTTCAGCTGCCAAGAGACTCTGAAAGGCCTTGAGCTGGGATTCGTCATCGTCATCCATTTCACTTCTTGTTCGTTTTCAGTCTGTAATTATGATTTCTGAGAGAATGGATAGTGATTGTTCATAGAGAGAGAGAGAGGAGTCTGAGTTTGGCACGCTTATGGGGGTAGTTTAGTAATTTCAGATGCTAAGATGAGGGTATTTCAGTAATTTTGACAGCTCCGTTAGTGTATTTAACGGTCCGTTATACATAAGGGAGGTCCGTGTAGGATATTTTCAAAAGTAGGGGAGGTCCGCGTAATTTTCGGAACAGGAAGGGTGCCGCCTGTAATTATGGCAAACCATAGGGGAGGTCTGTGTAAATTACCCAAAGATAAAATATATAAATTGTTATTCAATTCAAATTAAAACATACCTTTTAAAAAAATAATTTGAAAGGGTTTTGAGTTGTGATTTGATGTACATGAACCAAAAGACGAATCTCCTCTCAAAACCGTTGAAATTGTTTGTGGAAGAAGAAACCTCTAACAAATTTTTTGCGAAGAAATTCTTTTCAAAGAGAGATGGAAAGAAATAGAGAGGAGTGAGATATAGGGTGATATGAATGTTAGATATATATATATATTATATGGTTGAACAAATAAGTGTTTGCAGTTAAAAGGTGACCATTAGAAGAGGTGTTAATGCAGTTAAAAAGTAACTTTTAGAAGAAGTGTTAGTAGTTATTTGAAAAGTCACATTTATGTATTAAAATAAATTAAATAATTTAATTGTATATAAATAATAAAAAGTGACTTTTAGAAGATGTGTTATTTTAGTAATTATTTGAAAAATATATTATTATTATTATTATTATTATTATTATTATTATTACAAAAAAGTGTATATATAAAAAAACAAATAGAATACACTTTTATAGGGTGAATAGATTATTTTGTGTTTGTAAAATTGCCATTGATATTAGGCCTTAGCAGCCTAATAAGAACGAGCAGATGGCCCAATAAGGCTCTCCGTTAAAGATGATGGTATTTGTACGGAAGTGGCCCAAACATTAATGTCATGTTGGGCTGAACTGTAAATATGTGTAACTGGCCCATAGGAAAAGCAGGTTCATAGCAGTCCCATTGGGTTAACAAAAAAACCTAAAACAATGGGGCGTAGTCTGTTACACAATTACCAAAGACCCATTCGTTGCTTGCAAGAGCTTTTTTAATTATCCAATATCTATCGACCACGCTTACCAAAGACAATCTTTTTAACTCTTCTATCTTTATCCATTCCCCTATCCATCATGGGAACTGGTATCAGGGGACATGGGCTTGAAACCATTTCAACATGGGCATCAACTATATATATATATATAAGAGTTGTTTAATTACTATAATGCTTTAAATGAGAAATATTGGAAATTTAACTTTTATTATAATATTTCATTAAGTGAAATACAAGTTGATCACATGATACGGGATATTAACTTTATATCCGATTAAATATGTGATATTTAATAAAGAAATAATTAAATTAAGGAGGACGGTGAGACATACGGTACACTAAAATTCACTTGCCATATTGGGAATGGAAAGAGCCCATCAAATACGTTAGTTCGCATCTAGCTTGATAAGACCGAATGACATTATTCAATTAATTTTCTGTTGTACATAGCCCTTTATATAGGCGGTGATTTGATAAATTGTGATAGATTAATTGAAGATAATATATAAGAAAGTTGAGAGTAATAGAAAATGTTAGCACAGGCATGAGGTTCTCCTGAGATTAAATAATTAAAACCAATTATTGCATTATTTTAATTCCACTTGATATTGATAAAAGGAAAGCATATGGCACATTATCCAAAATCATCATATTAAAATCATCCTAACAACACTTTATACCAAAACATCATAGGGTTCTACCACTTGCGGTTGGTGTGAAGCTGGGTCCAGGCAGCCATGTCTGACCTCTATTTGGGCTTTTTAAGACAACACGTGAATTTTAACACTACCAAACATAATGAAGAGAGAGACCATGCACATAAACATAGATAAAAAAAACACATCAAAATCTCTTTAAAAACGGAAGGTAGCATAGCATTCAACTTCACCACCACCACCTATCATGGCTTCTTCTTCTTCCTTTCATTTTATTCTGTTCTGTTCTCTATTCATTGCAGCGTCGACGTTGTCGTCAGTCGCCACAACCTCTTTTCGACCAAAAGGGCTTCTTCTTCCGGTCACCAAAGATGCTTCAACCCAACAATACCTTACCCGCATCAACCAAAGGACTCCTCAGGTGCCCTTGACCTTAACCGTCGACCTCGGCGGCCATTTGTCATGGGCAGACTGTGAAAAAGGTTTTGTTTCCTCCACCTACCGTCCAGCTCGTTGCAATTCAGCTCAATGCAAAGTTGCTTGGGATACTGTTTGTCCAAACTGTCCAGTCAAGCCAGACTGCATCAACAACACATGTGGCATCGCACCAACCAACACCGTCAACGGCTTGGCCGGAGGAAGCGGTCAGCTGGGAGCAGATGTGGTGTCCATCCAATCCAACGACGGTCGGGCTGTCTCACTATCAAACTTTCTCTTTATTTGTACCTCCACATCTGTCTTACAAGGTCTTGCTAGTAGTTCCAAGGGCATGGCTTGCCTTGGAATGAATAAAGTTACTCTTCCTTACCAACTCGCCACGGCTTTTAGATTTCCTCGGAAATTCGCCATTTGTTTGAGTTCATCAACAATTTCTAAGGGTGTCATATTGTTTGGTGATGGACCTTATATGTTCCTTCCTAATGTTGATGTCTCAAACTCCCTTATCTACACCCCACTTATCCCCACCTCTGCGCCTTACGTCATTGGAGTAAAATCTATCCTAATCAACCAAAAGGTTGTCCCTATAGACCCTGGATTAATATCAGGTTACAATGAGATCCAAACTCAGATCAGCACTGTCGATCCTTACACACTCATGCACACTTCGATATACAATGCTTTTATTGAGGTTTTCATCAAGGAGTTCCCGAGCGCCACTAGGGTTGCGTCCGTGGCTCCTTTCGGGGCATGTTTTAGCTCCAAGAGCATTTCCAGCACCCGTGCTGGCCCGGCTGTGCCACACATTGATCTCGTGTTGCAGAACAAGAATGTGTACTGGAGGATCTTTGGAGCAAACTCGATGGTGCGGGTCAGCAACGAAGTGTTGTGTCTAGGGTTTGTGGATGCTGGTACAGAGACTGGCTCTTTGATGGTGCTCGGAGGGCATCAGATTGAGGACAATTTTCTACAGTTTGATCTTAAGGCAAACAGACTAGGGTTCAGTTCTTCATTGCTGTTCCGACAGACAACATGTGCCAACTTCAACTTTACATCTCATCTTTAGATGCTTATGATTTGTTATGATGGTGTAACCAATGTTTTATTATATACTGCATGCTGTAATAAAACGTTGTGCCATTTGGTTTCGTAATAGAACGTTGTGCCTTTGGTTTTTTAATATTTTGCGAAATTATATATTTTTCCATCCTTCTCATATTAGTTTTTTAATTCAAAATTTTTGACTCACTGTCATTTTTTATTTTTAAATCATTTAAAATTATTTTTAATCATATTACTTTTATATACATATATTATTTATATTTATATTAGATGTTTATTTTAATAATTTTAACTCACAAAAATTATGAATCAAAAATTTTAAATCTAATAACTAATATGAGATAACGCGCGCACATGCAAATGGTTGTGTTACATTCACCATTATTTTTGTTTGTCAACAATTTTTACGCGGCATACAGTGGTATGCCATCGTTGACTTGAACTTGAAGTCTAAAAATGGCGTCAAGAATCAAGACTTGGGCCCAGGCGGTAGATGCTTTGAACTTTTACTTTACCACCCTTTTGGGAAATTTTTGTTCTTTATTTATGAATGTCCTTGTATGACTTTATGGTCGGTCACTAATCCTCATTTTACCAATAACCAATCCCATATTAGTAGTTAATCTTATTATAGTTACTAATATATATATATATATATATATATACAAGAAGGCTCCCGTGCGGTTCAAAATAACGAATTTTTTAATAGACTAAAAATCAATTAGAAAAATTACACTTTATTACTTTATCAGACCTATTTATAAATAATTTATTATAATTAGCCAATACATTTATTCAATTCCTCTCTCCTTAATCCCTTCCATTGCTCTTGCAATTTCAACTACTACCGTCATCACAGCCACCATCTTCACAATTACAGCAGCAACACAACTACTATATTCATTCTCCAAAATCGAATTCAGGTCACTATCACTTTCCCTCTCTTTTTTTTGCACTTTGATTTATTTATTTATAAAATATTTTTTACCTCGATGGCTTGACTGTTAGTCTATTGCTCTCTTATTTATTTTTTATTTTTTTCGTCGACCCATTATTCAACACTTCGTGAATAATCTTTTTTTTTTGGGTTCAAAGGATACCAATTTTTTAGGGTTGGTGAATAAGCACAACCTCTAATAATAGAGTCTCAAACAGAAAGTATATATTGTTTAATCCTGGAAACAATAAAAGGTCTTTAAGCAATATATGGTATTGGCTAATTATGGTAAATTAACTATGGTTAGGTCTGATAAAGTAAAAAAGTGTAATTTTCTTAATTGACTTTTGGTCAGTTGAAAAGTCCGTTGTTTTGGATCGCATGAGAGCCTTCCTGATATACACATACATATATATATACATATACATATATATACACACAAATTGATATTATTATTATGGGTAAATTACACCTAGACCCCCTGAGGTTAGGTCATATTTCAACCAGATGAAGATTTTGGTTTTAACTTTCACTTACACCCCAATTTATTTTTTGACTTCTGATACATATGAATAGACCATTTTACCCTCAATTTTTTAATACAATATATATATATAATCTTAAATGACAAAAAAACCCATATATATATATATATATATTCAACACCTATATGTGTGTGTGTGTGTGTGTATATATATATATATATATATATATATATATATTCAACACCGGCAGCTCCCACCATTAACACCGGCAGCTCCACCAACGTCCCACCTTAACACCTCCCTGCACCACCAACCCACCCAAAACCTAACTGCACCCCCACCCAACACCTCATCACCACCACCCACCTAAAACCAAACCCAAAAATACACAAAATCCTATCCCACCCACTGCAGAAATGGACGTCGATGACAAAGAATCGAAGGCGAGTTGATGTCGGCGGCAGGTGTCGGATTACAAGCTCTACGGTGGCCCAATCAATATATCTCGGCAGCGACACATCGTATTATGCTTACAGCCTCGACAGCGTCATAATCGGCGGCAAAAATCCTCATCTCGTGCTACAGTCGCGTATCTGTGTGTGAGGGTTTGTGTGGAGAGAGGTAGCTACAGTCGCGACGGCAGTGAAAGAGGTCGTGGTGGAGGTGGTCGCGATGGCGGCGGGAGAGACGATGGGATCGATTTGTCGATGACGACGATTTGTCAAATCAAACGTCGACGACAGTGGAGAAGACGACGATGATGTCGAAACCTCCGGCGGCGTTGAACCCTTGTTTTCTTTCTTCAATTTAGGATTTCTTTCCCATTTTCCACCAAATCACACACACATATATATATCACCCACACCATATACCAAACCCGCCGGCCCGCCGCATCACAGATCCACAACCCACAGCCACATCTGACGCCGTCATCGCTGATTGCTCTGACTAGATGCCTGTCTTTGCTTTGTCGTCGCTTGGGAACACGCCGATATAAAATGGGTTTTGCTACTTGGAGCTCGCCGGAACTGAGTTTTGTTTCGCCGACACTAGGATCTCGCCGGAACTGGGTCAGTTCAGTTCTGTCGTTTTTTACCGGAGAAGAACTGGGTTTCAATAAGCCTGTAATCCGAATTGAGTTTGGTTTCGCTGACTCCGATTGATTCCGATGAGAGGGAGAGAGAAAGGGGAAAAAGAGGGTAGAGAGAGAGAGAGGGGAAAGGTCACAGAGAGGGGGGATGGGTAGTTTGGTCACAAATATAATTAATATGAGGTCAAATGGTAGTATAGTCTTGAATTGATATTTGGGGTGCAAGTGAAATGTTAAATTACTAATTCATATATAAGTAAAATCTAAAATCAAAATATTCATATAGGTGTAATATGACCTAACCACATGGGGTCTAAGTGTAATTTACCCTATTATTATTAATTCCAAAGTTCAAAGGACCGCATACACGCACAATAAGTATGGGATCAAGAGGTTGTAAAAATTGGTTTAGGCTGGAGTTCATTTGAGTAGATTTGACTGAGTGATTTTTCAGACTTGTTCGACTATCTTACTTTCTATAAGCTAAGATTTAAAAGAGACTTTAGTAGCATGGTCACTTTGTTGACTAATTATATTAACAATACTATTTAGATCTATTTTTTTAAAGTGAATGTGTATAGTTTGAAAGAGTTTTTATTCTTTTTAATACATTGATTGAAACCCACAATTGGTCCGCTCCATCGAAAGAACAAAAATTCAATCAGCTAAATACAATCATTAATATTTTTTTATCAGGACCATGTTATTTAGACATAAATTTCTAACGGAAATACTTAAGAGTAAGAGTTTCTATCAATTAGATGACAAAAATTAGATTAACAGTTTATCCACTTTTTCAATAGCCAACATACCAAAGACCATGTGGCATAATGGTATATTATATTTTCTCTACTTGTCCATGGTGAATGGGAGTATTAGAGAATTGTAATTCTATTTGTTTGTCTGTAGAATAATTATTTTGAGAGGTTTCTTATGGACTTTATAATTTTGATTCAGAAAAATCCTGTAGATTAATTTAGAGTCAACCCCATTTTTATTAAAACTTAACGAACGGAACTCCAGTCCCTTAAAATTGGGAGTTGGTTATGGATTGGGCTGGGGTTGATTTTGGGTTAGCCCCTAAATTCTACCAACCCAATCAAGTTTATTGATACGTTATTTGGAGGATGATTTACACTCTTGGGTTACTTCTGGTCCAGATTAAACTATATTGGTCCAGTCTTTAGGTAATACAGCCATTGGCCCCGAAGCAACCAATTCTTACATCTGACGTATAATGGTAGAAAAGAGTGTCTTTTTCTTGCCAATGTTAAAAAAAAAAAAAAAAAAAAAAAAAAAAAAAAATTGATTACATAATTGATAATACTATAATAGATACACACACACACATATATATATAAATATTTTATTTTTGGGAGAAAAAAAGCTTAGGAGCCCAATAATAGCGAGCATATGGCCCAATAAGACTTTCAGAAAAAGATGGTGTTGTTTGTACAGAAGTAGCCCAAATATTAATGGCATGTTGGGCTGAACTCTTGTACCAGTTTGGGCAAATCTGAAACAATACAAAGAAGTATGTGTAACTGGGCCATAAGGAAAGCAAGGTTCATAGCTGGACCATTGGGCAAACAGAAAAACCTATTACAATGGGCTTAGCCTGTTACACAATTGCCAAAGACCCATTCGTTTTCAAGAATTAGACCGTTGCTTTTCAAAGAGCTTTTTCAATTATCCAATAATCAATGTACATATTCGTTGATTTCATCATTTTTTTTTAACTCTTCTAGTTCTATCTTGTCTATTCCCAGGGCCATGGGCTTCAACTTGGGAAGTGGTATAAGAGATCTAATTACTAACCGTGCTTTAAAAGAGAAATATTGGAATTTTAACTTTTATTCTAATATTTTATATTTGATATATTTAACTTGGGAATAATTAAATCAAAGAGCACTGCAATTGATACATACGGTCATTTGTATAACTCACTTGGGCATCTAGCTTGATAAGATCAAATGACATTATTAAATTGATTTTTCTCGTATGTAACACTTTATTGTTTTAAAAAAGTGTGATAGAGAGAATGTAATACTTGGAAAATATAGCACAGGCACGAGATTCTCCAGAGATTAAATTATAGCCAGTTATTTCATTATCTTAATTCCACTTTATACTACTAATACAAGGAAATTAAACTATTGGCAGATTTATCAAAAAATCATACATATATTAAAATCATCCTACCAGCTGTGGTTGGTCCGACCGCTATTTGGACTTTTTAAGACAACACCTGAATTTAACACTACCAAACATCACGAAGACAGACACCAAGAACACAAATATATATATATATATATAACACATCAAAGTCTCTTTAAAAACCGAAGAAGCTACCATATATAGCATATATTCAGCTTCACCATCTCTCTCTCATGGCTTCTTCCTTTCATTTCATTCTCTTCTACTCTCTTTTCATTGCAGCGTCGACACTGTCCGTCGCCACAACCTCTTTACGACCGAAAGGGCTTCTTCTTCCGGTCACCAAAGATTCTTCAACTCGTCAATACCTCACCCACATCAACCAAGGGACCCCTCAGGTGCCCGTGAGCTAACGGTCGACCTCGGCGGCCAGTTGTCATGGGTAGACTGTGAAAAAGGATTTATCTCTTCCACCTACCGTCCAGCCCATTGCAATTCAGCTCAATGCTTACTTGCTTGGACTAGTGTTTGTCCAAAGTGTACATTCAAGCCAGGGTGCAACAACAACACGTGGCGTCGGAGCATTCAGCACCGTCACCCTCACCGGAGGAAGCGGTCAGCTGGGAGCAGATGTCGTGTCCATCCAATCCACCAACGGCAAAAACCCCGGCCGGGTTGTCAAAATATCCAAGTTTCTCATGGTTTGTAGCTCCACAACTCTCTTACATGGTCTTGCTAGTAGCGTCAAGGGTATGGCTAACCTTGGAAGGACTACAGTTTCTCTTCCTTCCCAACTTGCCACGGCTTTTAGCTTTCCTCGGAAATTCGCCATTTGCTTGAGTTCATCAACAACTTCTAAGGGTGTCATACTGTTTGGTGATGGACCTTATGTGTTCATTCCTAATGTTGATGCCTCAAAGTCACTTTTCTACACACCACTTATCCCCAACTACTCGGCACTTTATTCACATTACTTCATTGGAGTAAAATCTATCCTAATCAACCAGAAAGTTGTCCCTATAAATGCAACATTGCTATCAAGTGGAACAGAGATCAGCACTATCCATCCTTACACAGTCATGCAGACTTCGATATACAAAGCCTTTATTGAGGCTTTCATCAAGGAGTTCCGGAGTGCGACTAGGGTTGCGTCTGTGGCTCCTTTTGGGGCATGTTTTAGCTCGAGGAGCATTTCCAGCACTCGTTCTGGCCCGGCTGTGCCAACCATTGATCTTGTGTTGCAAAGCAAGAATGTGTACTGGAGGATCTTTGGAGCAAACTCGATGGTGCGTGTCAGCAATGAAGTATTGTGTCTAGGGTTTGTAGATGGTGGAAGAGAGCCAAGCACTTCGATTGTGATTGGAGGACATCAGATTGAGGACAATCTTCTACAGTTTGATCTTGCAGCATCTAGGGTAGGGTTCAGTTCATCATTACTGTTCGGACAAACAACATGTGCCAACTTTAACTTTACATCCCATGTTTAGATGGTTATGATTTGTTGTGATGGTTTAACCAATGTTTTATTATATTCTGCGTGTTGTTATAAAACGTTGTGCCTTTTGGCTTCGTAATAAAATGTTGTGCTTTTGATTTTGTGAAATTATATATTACTACATGCATACGGTTGTGTGTTACATTATACATCATTTTTGTTGAGCCCAGTCTTGGGAGGATGAATTTCATCTCTCTAATTACATAGCCCAGTACAATCACAACAAGTGTCTAAAATAAAATATAAAATTAAGTTAGACATTGCCTATCTATTTGCAAGTTTAACCCATTTTCCTATTTTCCTGTTTTCTGAATCGGGTCTTCTTTCTATCTCTACCCTAAAAAGGGGTAAGAATGGAGACTTGGGGCCAGGCCGGCAGTGGCGTAGCTACATTAGGACCAGTGGGGACAACTGCCCCCAACTGTAGTTTTTAGTTATATATATTTTATATGTATAAATTCTGATAATTCTTAAATTGCCCCCATTGAAATTTTAAAAAAAATCACAAAAGGTCTTAATAAAAATCAAAATTTTAAAAAATCTCTTATTTTTAACTTATTTGTTCAACAAAAATTTCAAAATTCGAAAAAAAACACGTTTTTTTCTTCTTCAATGGATGTCACAAAATTTTTAAACATTAAAAACCCCTCCTTTACTATTTATGTTTTTGATTCAAAAATTTTAATCACATTATTGTCAACGTTTACCCCTACTCAAGTAAATTTCTAGTTCCGCCACTGCTCGGTGGAGAAATATATTCTGTAGGCCCGGTGCACCGTTCATAGGGCTATCACAATCATACATGCCTGCACGTGTTATTCATGCACTTGCACGTACATAATAAATACGGTTATAATGTACCTGATGTGTCGTGCATTGAACAAATAAATACCTACTTGACCGACTTTCACCTACGATTTTACCTTTTTTGGTAAATTTTTTTAAATTTAAATTTAAATTTTATTTTATTTTATTATTATTATTTTTTGTTCGTTTATTTGTGAGTGTCCTTGCATGACTTTATGGTCTGTCACTTCCCTCATTTTACCAATAATCAATCTTATATTAGTGGGTAATAATGTGCTTTGTTTTGTAGTGTATGCGGCATACACTATGCCCATGTTGTCTTGAAAGTTTAGTAAAGATGTCAAGAATGGCGACAAGGGGCCTGCTCCACGGAGGCTTTGAACTTTGCCTTTACCTTCTGTGGAAAATTTGTCCTTTATTAATGAGTGTCCTTGCATGTGACTTTATGGTCCAATATTCACTAACCCTAAAGATACTAATAATTAATCTTATCCTAATTACTTATAAATAAATACACAAACATCTATTTTACATTATTAATTAACTACCAGTTTAATGATAAAGTTATATATGGTCCAATATTCTCACTTCACTTGGTTTTTTTTTTTTGAAATATTTTCGATTCATGCAGAATGGGATATTTATAAAAACTAGACACCAATACATTCCTCCACCAAACCTTGTATGTAATCAGGGCTAAACGGCTCTCATCCTCAATTTGAGACACCAATATATGGGATATTCCAGCCTCAGTGATTCGACCTCTGGCGAAACCACCAGACCAGGCGTCTTGAAGATGGAGTCGTCCTCCTTCATTACCGAAATGTCTGCAACTCCTGTAACGATTTTGGTTTGAGGTTCAGTTAGCCTCATGTTTATTTTAGCGGTTGTAATTGGGATGATGTGTTTGGGCTGTTGTCTTTTTGGGCTGCTTCATTTGGGCCACTGGTCTGTGGTTAGCTTTGGGCTAACTTTGGGCTGTACAGTTTACTTATTAATAATATTGACTTCAACTTTCTAAATATATATATATATTATACAGGTTACTAGTAAAATAACCTCTCGAGTAATGACAATAAACACTCAAATTCCTCTTGGAAGAAGAGCAATGTACTTAGACATTGTTTGATTAGCATAAAATATATAGATTTATATTTTCTAAGACTTCGCAGGCAAAGGTTAGGGGCATTTTTACACAATCAGAATTTCCTGAATTACAGTTCATCATTCTTGTTATTTTTCGTACATTATATCGTGTTTGTGATCGTTATTTCAGTCTGTGTGTTGCTTCTATCTGAGTTCTTTTATTGAATTCCAATTGGGTATTTGACTCTGAATACTATTTTAAACTTCATTTTTAAACATATAGTTCAAGAGCGTGGGATTGAAAGCGATTTAAGTTGGTTTGCATAATAGGTGTTTGATAAAATGTGTAAGTTGATATTATTTTTGTTGAACCCACCGGCATTCTAATCTTGAAAGTAAATTGAACTAAGATAGGAGCCTTTTCTCTTGGTTATGATAAAGCATTGGTGGTGATACCATGTCAAGAAATCATGGTTCCTTATTCAGATCTTGAAATTAAATAATCATATAATAACTTAAACATTTTGTTAGAAAATTAATTGAGGATATATTAATTTAACATACAACCATACATGTTAGTTAATTAAATCACTAAATATCAAGAGATCAAAATGCACCATATTTTAATGCAAAATGCAATACAATAAATCATTGCTGGCCATCTCTAGGAATCATTGTCACTTATTAATCTCATAAAAATACACAATCGATCATACGTTTATATACCACATATATAGTAATATGATTAAGTTCTGATCGAAATTAAGCATCGATCTAAGCACTGGTTGTAAAGTTGAAGTTGGCACATGTTGTTTGTCGGAACAGTAGGGTAGAGCTGAATCCAAGCCTGGATCTTGCGAGATCGAATTGTAAAAGATTGTCCTCAATTTGATGTCCTCCAATCACTATTGAAGTTTTAGGGTTTATGCCACCATCCACAAACCCAAGACACAACACATCTTTACTTACTTGCACCATCGAGTTTGCGCCGAAGATCCTCCAGTACACACTTTTACTCTGCAACACGAGATCAATTTGAGGCACAGCCGGGCCAACACGCGTGCTACCAATGTTCTTTGAGCTAAAGCATGCCCCGAAAGGTGCCACGGAGGCAACTCTAGCCACATTTGACAGGTTGTTGATGAGAGCTTTAACCACAGCGTTGTAAATTGAAGTCTCCATGACTGTGTAAGGACTGACAGTGCTTATCTTTGTTCCACCATAGCCTTTACTGTTAATGGACAACAGTGAAGAATTTATAGAGACGGCTTTTTCATTGATCTTGATAGATTTTACTCCAATGAAGTATTCAAATGAGGGCTCGCCTTTAGCAGCAACCGCTTCATCAGTCACGGGGTTGATGATAAGCGTGGTGTAGGTCAGAGAGCTTGATGCATCAATACGAGGAAGGAACACAAATGGTCCATCACCAAACAATACAACACCGCTAGAACTTGTTGAAGCACTCAAGCAAATGGCGAATTTCCGGTCGAATTTAAAAGATGAGGCGAATTGGGAAGGAAGAGCGACTTTGGACCTTCCTAAGCCAACCATACCCTTGACACCACTAGCAAGACCTCCCAAGATTATTTGGGAGGCACAGGCAAAGACAAACTTGGACACGGACACAACCGGACCGGGGTTCTTCCCGTTCGTCGATTGGATGGACAAGACGTCTGTCCCGATCTGACCGTTCATGGCTTCGCGAGTCACCGTGTTAAATGGAAAGTGGCCACAGGTGTTGTTGATGCACCCCGGGCCACGATTGCAAGATACAAAATCATCACAATATAAAGCCCCAGCAAGTGAGCATTGAGCAGATTTGCAACGGGCTGGACGGTAACTGGAAGAGACATAGCTTTGGTTGCAGTCTACCCATAGGAACTTGCCACCGAGGTCGATGGTGAAGCGTACTGGTACAAAAGGAGTCCTTTGGTTAATGTGGGTAAGGTATTGACGGGTTGAAGAGTCTTTGGTGACAGGAAGAAGTAGCCCATTAGGCCGAAAAGTTGTTTTGGCGACGGAGGAGGCGGCTTCAACAAAGAGGAGAGTGCATAAGAGAATGCAATGAACAGTAGAAGCCATGAGAGGTTGTGAAGCTGAACTCTGCTTGTGGATAACTGCTATATGAATGTCTTTTTATAGGTGTTATAAGTGTACAGTGGTGTGTCTAACATTCTTGAAAGGAGAATTACACCAAACTCCATGTGGATTGCTTAAATTTTTTTTTTTTAAAATAATAGACTTCCCATATGATTTTTAAAATAATATTGATATTTCCATGATTTTAAATACCTGTTAGAATAATTGTACTTTTATATTAGTTCAACGTACTTATGAATAAAATATCATTTTCAAATTTTTTAAGAGTATTTTTTTTAATTTTAATTTTAAGTATATTTTGAGCATGACATTAATAAGTAAGAGAATCAAATTTTATTATATGGGAAATGTGTTTTATTCAGACTTAAACTAGAGTTTCTTGTAATTTCGACAAATTACGAGAAAGATAAGTGTAATTATTCGTCTTTTAATTAATCACATGATTGGGTGTGGCAGGATACGACAGTCAAGTGGCATTGGTGGACATGGGACCATCTCAATACCTTTACGGGTGGAGGTTTTAGACAACTTGACCTATGGCTCAACACCTTGGGGGTGGGACCATTTGAATTATTTGTCCTTATTAATTTGTCTCAATTGCCATAGGTTTTAGACAACTTGACCAATGACTCACAATTTCTAAAGACGAGGTTTAATTGGAACAGAGGAATAGTATTTTACATCTTTGTCAATAAAAAAGATTGAAATACACATACACGTATAAAATAATAATTAACTTGTTATTATATTACTTTTTTGGCCCTCACATGTTACTATGCTCTATTGTACTTGTGAGCCACGATTTTCCAAACAAGACATATTTTTTTTAAAACAGTGGAAATATTAATTATGTAAAATAATATGGTTTTAGGACAGATGCGACGTTTTGGAGGTACCTTGTAGTCGTGGATAATTAGCCAATTATTTTTTCATAACGCCTTAAAAGTGTCTTGGATCAAATTGTATTAACAATTTAAAAGTTAAAACATTAATGTTTCAAAAATATAGAGCCCGACGGGGATTAGTTCGGTTGGTGCCAGTTAGCAGCCTTGGGATAGAATCACACAGATAAAGTGATGACATTCTTTTTGAATGGGAAAAATGATGACACACGGGCGACACTACCAAAATAATAATAATAATAATAATATTAATAATTATTACCGCCACCTCATTTGTGATTTGGACCTCTCTTCAATTTCTATGTCAGTCTTATCTTACAAAATGACTTTAGGCATCATTTTATCATCTCTGTCATTTTGTCGCACAAGATGATGATTTAGCGGTAGAGGTAGGCTTAGATTTTGTACTTTTCGAAAACAAAATCGCCTTAGGTTTTGTAAATTTATGGGGAGACAACTTTGTAACGAGAGAGACCCACCTTAGATTTGAAGAGTGAGATTCATTTTTGGCCGTGAAAAGAGGAATTTATCTTAGATTTGACTAGGGAGGGAAGTAGAGAATATCAGCTTGTGTTATGGGGTTATAGGACTTAAATCTTTACTGTGCACTTTGAGAGAATATAAATTAGGTCACAATCCCTTTAATTTTATTGCATTAGTCCACCAAATGTTGGGGCTTATTTGGTGAATATTGGGTCCAACCATCAGCCAAGGGCATTATGGTTTTTTAAATTTTGTAGGCGTATGATCCTTTTATAAATATTTTATATCACATGCAAGTTATGCAACTATGCAAGTCATGCTTTTAAAAATGATTGGTCACTCGCCGGAATGGATAAGTTGTAATCAAACACTTAAATTTAGGGAATTTTTTTGCCACTTTAAAATTTTAAGAGGACTTTTTTGTAATTTGAGGAGGTTTATTGCACTTAAACTTATAAAATAATGTCAACAAGCCATTATCAACTATGAAGCACGGACACTCCTCTCAGGGGTCCCGTGTCAGTGTCGGACACTTTTCGAACACCGACACTAGTGTCCGAGGCTCGAACACGTATCCGACACTTCTGTAAAGTGTTCAAATATTATTTTTTATTGGACACACGTATCCGAGGCTCGGACACACGGTCTGACACTTCTGTGAGACAAAATTTATTTTCTCTCATTCCTCTCTTAGTCTCTCATCTTCTATGAAGCACCGACACGTCAATATACAACACCGTACCAGTGTCGGACATGTGTCCGATACGGACACGCGTGCGCGTGTCCAAGCTCTGGACACGTGTCCGACACGTGAAAAACGTATCCCCATTATTTTATATTATTTTTTAGATCAGACACGGCCAGGACACCTCAGGGACACGCAGGAGGACACGTCGATAAGCTTCAAAAAAAAAAAAAAAAATAGAAAGAGAAAGAAGAAGATGATATATATGTATGTATATATATGTGTGTATCCATTCTCTATAACAATCTTGGCTCATATCACTTGCACATTGATGGAGGACTTGAGAATGTAAAAGGCAGAGAGGATCAGATGGAGCAGATCTTGAGACATAGAGGAAAAGGAAGATAAAGGCATGCGATTGAAAAAGAAGGCGAAGAGGTAGAAGAAGGAGAAGACACAACTCTCTTTCTCTCTCTTCGATGAGGCATTACACAACTCTCTCCTCTCTCTTCACTGCGGCAGAAATTGTACAACTTTTGTAGAATGACCTAGAAGGTCTTAGATGCTTCAAGAGTTAAAAACTTAGTTTGCCTTATGGGCCGTCTCTCTGGGCCTACTATGGTCATACTTTTTGAATCATTTCTTTTGGGCCTATTGACTATTGTAATGGGCATGTATTTTCAGCCTAGGCTAAAACCCACATAATTATCTATATTATTATATTTAATTGATTAATCTTTCAAAATTAAAAAATAAAAAATAAATAAAAAAATATGAGATGTATGGTGGGACTATTTTAAATAGGTTATATTTATGAATATAAATGAGAAATTGAGAAAAGAATAATTTATTTTATATAACAATAAATTATATTATTATTTTATTGCCGTATCCTTGCCGTGTCCGTGTCCTATTTTTTTGAAATTTGCCGTATCGCCATATCCATGTCGTATCGTACCCGTGTCCCGTATCCGTATCTGTGCTTCATAACTCCTCTTCTTCAATTATCTCTCTTCATGAACAAGATATATATATATATATATATATATATAAGTTACATGAACAAAACTTTGTGAAAGACTGAAAGTATATATGTTTATTCATATATATATTTAGTTCATTATAGCTATGTCTCTTCTGCACATCTTCGTTTGGAATTTGGATCAACTTTATTTTTCATATATTTTCTATTTTGTCTTGTCTATATTTTTCTTATAACAAAGATGAAATTATTAAAATTGATTCTGTTCTTTGTTGTTGTTTTATTTATCTGTACAAGATTTTAGTAATTATATTTTGAATATATATATATAATTTTATAGGCATATTCCCACCGTGTCCATGTCTTATTTTTTTGAAATTTGTCGTGTCGTCGTATCCGTATCGTGTCGATCCCTGTCCCGTATCTGTGTCCGTGCTTCACAGATTATCACTCTTTTATTGCTCATTAGACTTGCAGGCTTCAAACAAATATTATGGACAGTTCAGTCATTAAAATTTTATGCGGTAAGCATTCCACTCAAAGTTAATGAAAAAATTAACTGGTTAGACCTCTTTATTTTTAATTCCAAAAGGAGACGAAATACCATTAAAGTTTATTCACAATAAATGAATATACAGTTCAATCATTGAAATTCAAATATATTGTAATTAATTTAGAATAAATTCATTAAAAAAAATTATTAAATAATCTTTTAAAAAAAACTTTCAAAAAATTTATATATCACAAATATCCTCCATGATACATATCATTTTCCATTAATATTTTTTACAAACCAGTTTCTGCATGCCATGTAAAATTTTAAGATTTTGACAACGTATTATAATTAATATAACTCCAAGATTTACGATAAATAAATGAATGAGAGACTTATTATAACAGGTGAGTACTTATTCATTTATTCAAAAATTTAAACTATTGGATAGTGATACCTACTCATTTAGACACGCTACCGCCAATGCATGCTAACTCCTGACTAACAATGGCCGGTAATTGCAATTATTAGCTTGATTTTGGTTTTCTGGGTTGTTCCTTGCTTTGGGCCTAATATTGGCTTTTTTGTTGCCCTTATTTTGGGCAGTACTTGGCCGAATCGCCCACACTATAATTACCATTTACATTTATTTCAATTGCTTAATGTTTCAAATAGAAGAAAAAAAAAACATTCTCAATTACGGTCGGGCCACCCTTGGGGTCAAGTTTGGGCGCTTAACGTGACATCGGATTAAGAATTGGGTCAATCTAGCTCTGATACCAAACTATAATGGGTGGACGCTTACCCATTTATCCAAAAATTTAAACTATTGAGTAGTGATGCACACTCGCCCATTTATATGCACTTCAATCTCATCCAAATCCGATGTAGGACAAGTCCCACTTATAACAGTTACCCTATATTTAGCATAAATAATTACAACAATAATTAAAAATGTATAACGACTTTGTATATACGTGTATATATATATTAAAAAATGGACAATACTTGCCTATTTATCGGTAAGTAGAAAACTCATACTTACCATGTATGTGGTACATTACTAAATTGACAAGTATCCTTACATTTTAAAAAATAAAAAATTTAATAGCTATCTGATTAAACCCAAATAATTTATACTTTAAAAAATAAAAATTAAATAGCTATCTGATTAAACCCAAATAAATCTGAATCAAATTATAATTCTCTTCCTCTCTCTCTTTTTCACGTTTGATTGTTCCAGTTCTCAAGATATTTCAATGTCTAGTCAATAATAGTCTCATTCCTCATCCATGCATAAATAGAGTCCCATTTAATTTTAAGTTTCAGCTGTCTTCTTTCTCCAATAACTTTATAGAAAGATGGACAAGGGCCTTGAGTGGTATATGAATACATTTCTTTGTGTGTTGGTATTGAGCATGTCAAAGTATCAAATCAATGATTTGTTTATTTTTTATTTTTTTAAATGTAAGGACACTTGTCAATTTAGTAAT